TCCATTTATACAGCATCCTCAAAATGTCAAAGTTATAGAAACAAAATCGTGGTTTCCAGGAACTGGGGGGACATGTCAGTAACCATGGCACGAGGAAGTCCTTTGCGGTGGTGGGATGGTTCTGAGTCTTGTCTGCAGAATAGCTAGAGTGGACAGACTTGCAGTCCTGCTTTAGCAGTGTGCTATCACGATGGGATGGAGCCCTGGTGGCGCAGTGGTTATGCGTAGGGCTGCTACCCTCAAGGTCAGCAGTTCAAAAGCACCAGCCGCTCCTTGAGAGAAAGACAAGGATTTCTACTTCTATAAAGTTACAGTCTCAGAAACCCACAAGGGCAGTTCCACTCCATCCTATGGGGAGGCTTTGAGTCCGTACCTACTGCACGGCTGTGAGTCTGGTTTGGGTTTATCACTGTAGAAGTTGTTGGGGAAAGCTACATGTTGGGCACATGAGATCTCTTTATACATCTCTGTGACTTCCTATAATTTTTTCAAAATCAAATTTTAAAAAATCTCTGAGCTCCTTTCTATTCTCCAAATAGGTGTCTATGATTCTCAAGAAACTTTTCCTTTTCTTAATGATTTATAGTTTACGAAATGCTCCCATGCCGATCAAACCATGTCATTTTAACTTCACAAGAATTTCACGAAGTAGCTGATCTTATGCCCATTTCACAGGTAAAGAAACCAAGGCTCAGGGCTTTGTCATAGGTCACAAAAGCTTAGGGCTCAATCTGGCTTCACAATAATTCCTACAGACTTTAGCTTTCTCAGCAGAAAAATCAGGAATCTCGCTTAGATGGCCACATTCATCTACAGATGGAGCTTTGTGCTTTTGCAAGCATGCCTTTTTGCGCCTGCATTACCATCAGGATGCGGTGACAGAATTTGGAAACTGAACTGTGGTTCGGTAATGGGACCTCCAGAGCTGGCTCACCTTGCTCGTGCATTATAGTCAAGAAAACTGAGGTCCACAAAGCCGGGGATGTGGAATGGAGGCTCCCTTCCAACAGCTCCGTTCCCCAAGACTAAGAACTGTTGGGGGAGAGTTGCAGTAGGCCCTTGGACCTCCATGCTGCCACCGCCATCGATGACTTCTGCTCTTCTGCTTCTATCTCCCACCTCCCCATCTCCTGGGTTTCCTCCTGTCACAACCCACCAACTCTAATGAATGACACTCTCCATGCCAAGGAGGTGAGCTGTGAAAAGGTCTTACCAGATTAGTGAAGATGTATGTGTAATAGGCTGACACCATCCCTAGTTCAGCTGCCTGCAGAGGGAAGAGAAGGAGATTAGAGAAGAAACAAAAACCCACTTGAAGTTAATGAGCAACAAGGAGTCTAAGTGTCTGCAGTATGTTGGGTCTACTCCTGCTGGGCACCCTGCAGAGTAGCATGCCTTGATAGGTCCTTGCATTGCCCTTGATCTTGGAGGATGAGGAACAGAAACACTGGCATCAAGAGCAGGGCCACTTCCTCCACCACCACCCCAGCGCCCACTCCTGCGGTGACCCTCCTGAGAG